CTACAACAGGTCTGCTCTCGATACCACAGCAAGGTTGTCTGCTACCCAATAGCCTGCAGCTGGAATCAAAACCAGCACCACTGAATTAGGAAGCGAGTTCGCACCGTCTAAGCCACAGACGCTGATACAAGGACACACATAAAAAAAAAGGACAATAATGTTTTAAAACAGCAGATGGCTGCCAAAGATGCACTTGACGACAGCAAAACTCAAAACAATGTTGCTGATCAGCATTCAAACAAGATACCACAGGGCGGAATCGACTACCTGCAACCAGATTTTGTTCCACGACAAGGCACATATTTTCGCTCTTTTCACGATTCTGATTCCGATGTGCTCGACTACGAGCTCCGGAGCATGTCCTCCTTTCTAGGGGTCGACCTGGATAAAAGCGATGCAGATTCCTGGGACTGGACGTTTCATGATGAGAATGTCAGTGACCTGGATATCAAAAAGGTTCCTGAACTTGCAAAGACGGAGAAACTTCTAATAAACATTAATGAAGAGCTTCCATTGGAAAGTGTAGAAAGGGAATTGGTGAAAAGTAGTCGAATAGATGATGGTCAAATAAAATGTTTGGAACGTGCCAATACTGGTGGAAGTAATACGGAACAATTAAACAATCTTAAGTGCTACAGGTCTTACGTTTTCCAAAAAAGCGAAGCTACGGGAACAAAAAGAAATGAGTTAACAACTTCGTATCTACAAAAAGAAGAAAATGAACAATTAATAGCGTCGAATTCTAACAAAAAACACGTTCATTTGAAGGTTTCATCGTATTCAAAAGATTCTTCTTCATGTCAAATAAACAATTCACAGACAGACATTTCCAATGTCGGCGACGAATTTATTTATTTCGCAGACGACAAGTCTTCTAAGTTATTCAAAATCAGACTGCAATACCTCAGCAACAACGCGATTGTTGGACGAAGACACAGGGACAACGGCGCAAACAAACTTCGCAAAATAACCAGAAATCAAAGATTGCGACCATTAAAGCTTTCTAATCATTCGTCTGAAAACACGCACTTTGAAACTCAAAATAATGCAACAAACGTTACAAAACTTTCCAATAAAGAAGCTCGCTTCATTTGCTCCGGTTCTACTGTTGCCAACAATGTTAACTCCATGACAATGTCATCTCAAAGCAAGCAGACGACATCGTTGCTTCCGTTATCGCAATATGAACCCTTGCTGCCGTCAATAAACCGCAAAAAGGTTCACCCATTTTTGGATAAAAGAGACTCATCTTACGACCTTCTGGCAGAAAGAATCACAAGTTGGAGATTAAACAGAGGATGGGCCATGTCAAAGCAAGACGTGTTAGGGAAAAGACTCGCAAAAGAGGAGGAGTTGAGGACAGACAGGGTCAGTTCTGGGGGACCCACAGTCCGCCACAATTGGGTCGCAGATGTAAGTAACCAAAAAAAAAATTAAATATGTGAATCTATTTATGGCAACAAATGGAAGCATATTGTTTCACTCTTAAGATGTATTACTTTGTGGCAGTGAGAACTACAATAATCATCGTACAAAAATCCCACCGTTATTACCATCCTCATCGCTACAGTCTGCACTACAAGTGATGTCACTACACTCATCATCACTACCAACAACATCACCACACTAACTATTACCACAATCGCCATCAACACAATCCTAATCGCAACAGTTATCATCACTACATTCATCATAAACAGTCATTATTACCACAATCCTTACCACCACACAACTTCATCCCCACAATCCTTGTCAACTATAGCATCATAACCACCATAATCATCTTCACTTCAATCATCGTCACTATAATCTTTGTAACCCAAATCCTCGTTAACACAATTCTCGTTAACACAATCTTCGTTACTACAGTCATGACTACAATCCTTATCACTACAATTATCATTACCACAATCTTCATCACCAAAATCTTCGTCACTAAAATTATCCCCAACAAAAAAAGTAATCTCAACAATCCTTGTCACTACAATCAATATCACCACTATAATCATCTTAACTACAAACATCACCACCACTGTCACTTTAGACGCAATCACACCAACACAGTCATTATCACCTCAGCATTGCATCATAATCGGCGTTTTAAAAAGTGTGCCTATATGTATAATTATTACAATGGTCACTCCAGTCACCAGAAGTACATTCCACATCACTACAATCACCATCTCAACAAACACTATTACTACACCCACTATCAAATCAACATAACAACAATTACCATCACTGCCCTCACAACAAGTATAATCACACCAGTCACCATTAATAAACTCACAGTCACCACAATCAACGACATTACATTCACCCCTGTCACCACTATCACCATCACCAGTGTTACCACAATCACGACAATAAACATTATCACATACACCCCTATCACCACTATCATCATCACCAGTGTTACCACAATCACGACAATAAACATTGTCACATACACCCGTATCACCACTGTCACCATCACCAGTGTTACCACAATCACGACAATAAACATTATCACATACACCCGTATCACCACTGTCACCATCACCAGTGTTACCACAATCACGACAATAAACATTATCACATACACCCGTATCACCACTGTCACCATCACCAGTGTTACTACAGTCACGACAATAAACATTATCACATACACCCCTATCACCACTGTCACCATCACCAGCGTCAGAACAGTCACCACTCATCACATACACCATAATCACCACTACCCACATCATCAGTCACCACCATCATGACAGTAACCACATCAGTATCACCACAGTCCCCACTTTTACTAATACTACCGCCCCAGTCGCTACACCCGCCTCTATCAGAGCTCATAGTTTTTCCTCACTTTTATCTCTAATTCTGTTTTCAGACAGGACTGGGCAGATTTCGCCACGTAGTACGCATGGTTTTGATCTTACTGAGAGCTGTAGGCCGAAGACGGTCAGTGGTTTGCTAACTCTGTGTGAATATATAGTCTGGTAATGTGATGGACAGAAGGACAAGAGGAATGAATGGATGAGTGAGTGTATGGGTGAGTGTGTAGATGAAAGGGTGAGGGAGTAGTTGATTGTTACTTAGCTGGCTGGCTGACTGGTTGGTTATGTTGGTCTGTTGGTTTTGTACTTGATCGGCTGAGTTTTTTGTTGATTGATTTGTGTATAGTGTTGACAGCTCGTTGGGTAATTATTTAGTTGATTATGTGGTTTAAATAATTGGGTAATTGATTTGGTTTGTTGCGTGGTTGACTGGTTATTAGCTGGTTGTTTGGTTTTCGTTTCGACGGGTGTGATTGGCAGATTGATTGGTTACGTGGCTGAAACTGTATATGCACCACAATTATAACCACGAAGGGTTTAACCGGATATTCTTGTTTATATCAGTACCACTGACAGTTTGTATTATTCTCTGACACTACACACAAATGGTTGTCGTTGTTGGTCTCCTAGCTATATTTCTGGTTTTTTTTTTTTTTTTTCTGAGCATGTGAATCATCATCAACAAGAACGTTACAACTTATGTTTTATGTGCCACAGTCTTCTCGTCTGCCTTTCATCTCAATAAACGAGATCTCACATTACACTGGCTGTTCTAATTCCTAATGTTGCTTTTTTTTTTTTTTAAATCTTTAGATGTCTATTGGGGGTGGGGGAGGGGGGGGGGGTTGCTAGGACTAGATGTTTGATCACTAGTTTTCAAACTGTATAAAGCTAGTTCTTTATTCGTCAGAAGCGGCTTTCACTGCAAAAATCCAAATGGAAAGTTATCAAAGAAGACTGTGGAGCCGTTGCTTCTAATGCCAACAGCTTGACAATGGAGGTCAGGGCTGTGACAAAGGCCCTAGAATGGCTGAAACTCAGGAAGTCGCCAATGTATGTTTGCTCAGCTACTCAGTGGGCACGCTACAGAAGATCCAGGAGAGGTACATGAGCAAACAGTGGCTCCATCTGAAACAGCGCAACGTTTCGCAAAATTTCGCCGACCGTCCAGAAGCAATGACAAACTACTAGACGTAAATTTGCCTAGAGTTGGTTCTGCAACGTCCTGTAAAGGATACGCAACTAACCTTTAAAATACTGGTGTAAAAGGCAATGAGAGAGCTGCCCCTCTGGCTGGCACTGCGACAACAGGAGTGGGCCATCTATGGACAGGAGAGACACAATAAATGCCATGACATTATAACTAACTTCTCATGGGGATAATCAGTAGAGGTACCTTGAAGTGGTTGCTGCCCTATGTACAGTGGCGTTGCTTATAATAACTATACATAAAGAAACATGACGAGTGCTATAATGTCTGTTCCCAACTCACTTCAGTGCTATAATGTCTGTTCTTAACTCACTTCAGTGCTATACTGTCTGTTCCCAACTTACTTCAGTGCTATAATGTCTGTTCTTAACTCACTTCAGTGCTATAATGTCTGTTCTAAACTCACTTCAGTGCTATAATGTCTGTTCTAAACTCACTTCAGTGCTATACTGTCTGTTCCCAACTCACTTTAGTGCTATAATGTCTGTTCCCAACTCACTTCAGTGCTATAATGTATGTTCCCCAACTCACTTCAGTGCTATAATGTCTGTTCCCAACTCACTTTAGTGCTATAATGTCTGTTCCCAACTCACTTCAGTGCTATAATGTCTGTTCCCAACTCACTTCAGTGCTATAATGTCTGTTCCCAACTCACTTCAGTGCTATAATGTCTGTTCTTAACTCACTTCAGTGCTATAATGTCTGTTCCCAACTCACTTCAGTGCTATAATGTCTGTTCTTAACTCACTTCAGTGCTATAATGTCTGTTCTAAACTCACTTCAGTGCTATAATGTCTGTTCTAAACTCACTTCAGTGCTATACTGTCTGTTCTAAACTCACTTCAGTACTATACTGTCTGTTCTTAACTCACTTCAGTGCTATACTGTCTGTTCCTAACTCACTTCAGTTCATATTTTTTTTTTAAATCCATGGTTAAAAAAAACAAAAACTTTGAATGTTTGATCCGCAGTCTACACTAAGTCAAGACATCAAGGACATCCTGAGACTCCCACCGGAGCAGAGGAGCGAAGCCAACATCCGCACGGTTATGATCAACTTCCACAATGTAGTCCCTTCATTCTCTGAATACCCCAGAGAAATTCAACAGTCGATGATCAGAGTCTGCATGTACGAAAAGTAAGTTATTGGAAAATATCATTTAAATAATGATCAAAGTCTGCATGTACGAAAAGTAAGCTATCGGTAAATATAAGTTAAATAAGGATCAAAGTCTGCATGTACGAAAAGTAAGTTATCGGTAAATATAAGTTTAAAAATGATCAAGGTCTGCATGTACAAAAGTGAGCTATCGGTAAATATAAGTTTAATAATGATCAAAGTCTGCATGTACAAAAAGTGAGCTATCGGTAAATATAAGTTAAATAAGGATCAAAGTCTGCATGTACGAAAAGTAAGTTATCGGTAAATATAAGTTAAAAAATGATCAAGGTCTGCATGTACAAAAAGTGAGCTATCGGTAAATATAAGTTAAATAAGGATCAAAGTCTGCATGTAGGAAAAATAAGTTATCGGTAAATATAAGTTAAATAATGATCAAAGTCTGCATGTAGGAAATGTAAGCTATCGGTAAATATAAGTTAAACAATGATCAAAGTCTGCATGTAGGAAAACATCCATTATTGATAACATGCAGTTGCAGTCTGAAAGATGAGTGCTTGAAAGGTTAATGTAATCTTTTAATGTAGTTTAATATAATCATAATACAGGTTAATATAATTCTAATGCAGGTTAAAATAATCATAATGTAGGGTAATGTAATCATAATGTAGTTTAATATAATCATAATGCATGTTAATATAATCTTAATGTCGTTAAATAGGATTCCAATGCAGGTTAATGTAATCATAATCAAGGTTAATGAAATCATAATGCGGGTAAATGTAATCCTAATTTAGGTTAATGTAATCCGTATGTAGTTTAATATAATCCTAATGCAGGTAAATGTAATTATAATGCAGAGTAATGTCATCTTTGTGTAGTTTAATGCAATCCTAATGCTGGTTACTGTCATCTGAATTTTTTTTTTTTAAATGCAGTCATTATGTAGGGTAATGTAATCATAATGTAGTTTATTATAATCCTAATGCAGGTTAATGTAATCCAAAAGTAGGTTAATGTAATCCAAATGTAGGTTAATATAATCCTTATGTAGGTTGATGTTATATTAATGCAGGTTAATGTAAACCAAAACTAGGTTAATGTAATCCAAATTTAGGTAATATAATCCTTATGTAGGTTGATGTAATATTAATGCAGGTTAATGTAATCATTAAACAGGGTAATGTAATCTCAATGTAGGTTAATGTAAACCCAATGCTGTATAATGCAATCTTAATCTAGTCTAATGTAATCCTAATGTAGGTTAAGGTAACTGTAATGTAGTTCAATGTAAGATTAATTAGTTTAATGTTATCGTAATGCAGGTTAATGTAATCCAATTTCTGGTTAATGTAATCTAAATGTAGTTTAATGTAATCCTAATGTATTTGATTGTAATGTTAATGTAGGTTAATGCTGCTATATTACTTTCTAAACTCTGCAGGTTTGAATCTGGAAGGGTCATTATCCGACAGGGACACAGGGCAGAGAATTTTTATTTTATCATCGGTGGGAGTGGTAGGTGATTCATAGTTGTTACTGATGTTGTTTCTCTCTCTTGTTATCGATAGGAGTAATAGGTGTTTCATAGTTTTTACTGATGTTGTTTCTCTCTCTTGTTGCAAAAGTAGTAGAAGTTGATGTTTGGTGCGGTAGTGGTGGTTGCAGAAGCAGTAATAGAAGTAGTAGTAGTAGTAGCAGCAGCAGCATGGTTAGTAGTGTTGTAGCATTAGTTGCTGTAATAGTAGCAGTAGTAATTGTGAAAACAATATGTGCATTAATCATTTAACACTAGTAGTTCCTGTTAGTGTAGTAGTAGCAACAGCAGTAGAAGTAGTATTAGTTGTTGTAGTAGTAGTAGCAGCAGCAACAGCAGTAGCAGCAGTAGAAGAAGAAGAAGAAGAAGAAGAAGTAGTAGTAGTAGTAGTAGTAGTAGTAGTAGTAGTAGTAGTAGTAGTAGTAGTAGTAGTAGTAGTAGTAGTAGTAGTAGTAGTAGTAGTAGTGGTGGTGGTGGTGGTGGGAATGGTGTGATAATACTGGTGATGATAGGGGTGGTGACAGTAGCCGCTGTAAGGAGGAGAAGAGATGAGTGTTTGAAAGCGATGTAGGACGAGAAGAGATGATTGTTTGAAAGCGTTGTAGAACGAGAAGAGATGAGTGTTTGAAAGCGATGTAGAACGAGAAGAGATGAGTGTTTGAAAGCGATGTAGAACGAGAAGAGATGAGTGTTTGAAAGCGTTGTAGGACGAGAAGAGATGAGTGTTTGAAAGCGATGTAGAACGAGAAGAGATGAGTGTTTGAAAGCGATGTAGAACGAGAAGAGATGAGTGTTTGAAAGCGATGTAGAACGAGAAGAGATGAGTGTTTGAAAGCGATGTAGAACGAGAAGAGATGAGTGTTTGAAAGCGATGTAGAACGAGAAGAGATGAGTGTTTGAAAGCGTTGTAGGACGAGAAGAGATGAGTGTTTGAAAGCGATGTAGGACGAGAAGAGATGAGTGTTTGAAAGCGATGTAGGACGAAAAGAGATGAGTGTTTGAAAGCGATGTAGGACGAGAAGAGATGAGTGTTTGAAAGCGTTGTAGGACGAGGAGTTGAAGCAGCAGTAAATTATTGCAAGAGCGGTAATACTGCTACAGAATGTAACGCAGTAAGTAGTCTCCATGAAGCACTGCCAAATATACGAGTATTTACCTAACATACTGAAGAAGTTAGATTCCTTTTTGGGCAGATTGCTTTCTGTGATTCTCTATAGGAAATGTTCAATAGATGTGAGGCTCGACCAGTCTGCACGAGGGTGTCCTGTGTAGTGTCTTATAGGGAGAACACCTGTAGATAAAGGCGCAAACATCACAGCTATGCTATAAACACACACACACACACAGAGTTTATTTACATTGCTCGGATGAAGAACGAATTAGTTAACTTTATTTCCAAAGGGTTACAAATTTCGCACGCAGGCCAGTCTTACATTCGGCCCTGTCTTTTTCTTCTTTTTCTTCTTTGTCCTGACTGTTCGTCCATTTGGACTTTGGTTTTGTGCCAGGGCTTGAGTTTGGCGTGTACATCCGTTTTACTGCCCTATTTGTGTGCAGTTGTTTGTTCCTTGCCTCTCGGGCAGATGCATTCCCATTTTGAAGGATGCCACAATTAGTAGACTCTTGGGACATGCTTGTTGTGGAGGCAGGGGGTCTATTCTTTACCTCCCCAACCCCCTACAAGGGGGCTCCGGAACCCACACAGGAAATTGAGCGCTTTCAACCACTCATCTTTCACACGGCAATTGTATTTTATATAACAAGCATATCATGTGTTGATATGGAACTAATCATAGTATGAATGTAAAGATACAAAAGCATTGAGAGCAAAAGCATACTTAGATGAAGCAGAAGAGTATATAGATATTGTGTGTTCCCCGTGTGCTTCCGGGGCACCATTTTTCAAGGCAAGAGACCGATGTCCCTTAACAAGCATGTCGTAGAAGAAGCTAATGAAGGATTTGCTGACGTTGGATGTGTTGGGCCGAAAGGCTCATACATCGAAACCTAGCCTTATGTAATAGAAAGTACAGGACTCTTTTAGGTCACCTGGGCATTAGACATATACTGCTAGACTAATATTTATATTAACCTGTTGGTTCTCGACTGGTAATGTGGTCAACATAATCATGACCGCCTTTACTTCCCAGGATTTACCTGGCACCCGTTTTAGGCTGAGTCGACTTGACGGCGAAAGTCATTTATTGAAGAAAAATTCCTTCCCGCTGTGGTTTGGAATCTAAAACGGTTGAGTCGGAGGAAAGCGAATAGCAGGCCCTCCATCACCACAGCCTGCCTGAAAGGCAGTCTCTCGACAGTTTTCCCTAATGTGGCATCTATATCTTGTGCCCATCTTCATTTTGGTCGATCCCTGCCTCTCTTTCCTGGCACAATTGATAGCGAACAGAATGGCGAAAGCAAAATATAAAAAGACAGTAGCGCTTATTAGACAGCATCGTCAAACATGACCATGGAGATAGCCGCTGCTTCTAGAGCACTAGCATGGGCAGTAGAGCCAACAGCCACACAGGCAGTAATTGTCTCAGACTATGAACATGCTTCAGAAGGTAGCGACAGGTGGTATGCACTCTGAATGAGTAGAAAGCATTCGAAAATTGCACTTAACCTAAATCTCCTAGATCCACATACCTGGTCATGCGGGCGTAAAAGGTAATGAGCGAGCGGACCAACTGACAAGCAATGCACCAACGCGTGTGGGAAGAAGCATGGACAGAGCAGATATCGTCAACGTTGTACGGACTGGGCTAGCTGATAATGACGAAACTCTGACACTAACACGATTGCGTGACATCACAGTGAAGCATGGTGAAGCATGTCTATGCCACCTTCAAAGCCGAGATAGGAGATATTATGACCAACTTCTCGTAGGAACAATTAGTAATAGTACCTTGGAGAGGCTGCTGCATCGAAGGACTGAGCACGCATGGAAATGTCCAATTGGCAGTGACGTCAGCTGTGATAACAAGGATATAACATGGCATAACCTATCTTCTGTTCCTATTCGTTCAAATCCACCGTGGCGCTTAATAAGGAAAATTAATGTTAGCTGCAGAGACAAGATGCTGTGTACTAGCCAACGTTCCTTCATGTTGAGATCTTTCAGAAGAATCCACAGTGTGTTGTTTTATTATCTCTACAGCGGTGGTCACACAGATGGACAGCGAAGCCGGGCACGTCCATACAACTAATGTCCTGGGCAGAGGCAACAGTTTCGGCGTAAGTTGATCGTTTTTATTGCTGAATGTTGACTGTTGAATTAAGAATCGACATCACAGCACTCGGGACACCCCCATAAGCACTCCGTCCCCATCTTCAGCAGCCAGCTCAGAGTTCCAGCTTTGATAGTACTAGTAGCAGATTGATTGCATGTCGGTCTTGCCTCCGATTGATTGCATGTCGGTCTTGCCTCAGATTGATTGCATGTCGGTCTTGCCTCAGATTGATTGCATGTCGGTCTTGCCTCCGATTGATTGCATGTCGGTCTTGCCTCCGATTGATTGCATGTCGGTCTTGCCTCCGATTGATTGCATGTCGGTCTTGCCTCCGATTGATTGCATGTCGGTCTTGCCTCCGATTGATTGCATGTCGGTCTTGCCTCCGATTGATTGCATGTCGGTCTTGCCTCCGATTGATTGCATGTCGGTCTTGCCTTTCTATGAATGTGGAGTGTCGGCCAAGTCTCCTAGTCACTTCCTGTTTCAGCATTCTCTTCAGACCGTGATACTCTAGTTGTGCCTCAGCACTGTTTACTTGTTTCCAAAGGCCATTGACAGTGTTTCCTGGTGTAGGGCCTGGAGAAACCCGTTTATAACATCGCCAAGATCAAGACAGGATTAACTTCGTAAGCGAATAAACAGTAATCCTACCTTGTGATTACTGCTGTATCGGAGGACTGAGCACTTACAGAAATGTAAATGTGTGAAGTTATTTACAAAATATAATAGAGAACAAAACACAAGAAACTAGTTGCGAATCCTTTACAGCAAGTTATAAACGCAACTCCAGCATTGCTGGCTTTACAACTAAAAATCATACCCAGACCATTCGACGTTTAGAAGTATGTATCTCCACTGCAGGACCGGCGCTGTCTACCATTTTCGGAATGAACGCAAAGCGGTCTGCAGTCGAATAGAACCGTATATTTCCGATTGACGAAGCGCCTCATGCCGCCAAAAGATAGTTTAGGTACAGTCAAAAACAGTAACCCATATTTTTTTTAAAGGGCAAAGGGTCGAAGACAATTTCTAGCAAAGCTCAGAAAAAGACAGTCATCATTTTTTCCGTCAATTTATAACAATGAGGAAACTAGAACATGTTGTGACCACCGGAAAGATTTGTGGCAAAAGAGACAGAGCAAGATTCTTGGCAGCGTTTTGTAATGGCATTATCGAGGAACTGATACATGCTATTGAAAGTGGAGCATTTTGGAGTGGCATGTTTGCCAAGCCAGTTTCCACGGCACTTGATGATAGTGATATTAACATAAGTATTCCTTTTTAGGAACTGGCCTTTCTCCACATGTCCAAGCGGTCAGCAACGGTCACCTGCCGAGACGATGTGGAGCTGCTGTGTATAGATCGGGAAGACTTCATCGACATCTTCATGCGTCCTCGCAAGGGAGATGAACCAGACCATATCAAGTTTCTCAAGTCTGTGGACCTTCTCCAGGGCTGGCCGGTATCCCTCCTTCCACATGTGAACCCCAAGATCTGCGCTTTTACCTACGTCAGGTAGGATTTGTCCAGCTAGTTAGTTAACTGATCGTCTGGTTATCCTAATTGCAGATCGGACAAGTTCATAACCGCTCGAATCCCTTCGTCAGTATATGCCTCAGCGTTGTGCGTCTGATAACTCCAGTCCTGTGTTGGTTTACTATTCTTCTTAGGCTGCCAGTAAAGTGTTATCCAGATTACTTATTTTAATAATCCTCATCCCAATATGGGACGCAATTTGTTTTTGTTATTTCAAATCCCCATCCATCTGTTGTTTAGGACCCTAAATATAACCTACTTGTTGAACGTGGTTTCTGGGGCTTGCGCTCGCGAGACCCTCATCGGAATGGTGACACTTTGTGACACCGTGTATTTATTGCTCGTCGTTGCCCGGCTTGCTAGCTCAGTTGGTTAAACCTCACTGCTTGGCGACCGGGTGACGAAATCCCTGTGGTCCGGGTTCACACCCAGGGGTAGGCAGAAAAGCAACATTTTTCCCAGATTTATTTTATCTATCATGGAATCAAGGCCGAAGGGTTGCGATATCCATAGTACGCAGACAAAGGTACTCGTGGTTTCTGGATATATCTGGTGGGAGTTAAACGTCAGTCTGTATGTATAGTGTTCAGGTCTGACGGCACCCCTGTTGACCTAAAATTCCTGTAGTCTTTTCAATGTTTTCGATTCATTGTCGTCTCCTCAATCCTCTTCTGGTCCTGTCTCTTTCCGAGTAGTGAGAACTTCGACCCGATCCATTCTTTCATGTCTCCTGCTTGTGTTGTGTCTATCTACAGGTAAGTTGTTTACCTAAAGAAAGCCAATCCTAGCGGTGTAACACGGGTCAATTATAACCTTTAATTTCGTTTTATTTTTAATGTTCACCGGCTGTAACTACAGCGGTAAGTTCTGGTTGTTTGTCCACTTCAGAACTGGCTTTGGTCCATAACTTGAATTTTGCGTGCATATCCGTTTTAAAGATCTGCCTATTTGTTTTTGTGCAGACTCTTGGTTCTTTGTCTCTCAGCCAGATGCACTAAGGAGGCGGTGGGTCTACTATTTTTCTTTTGTTTTCCCGATAACGGGGCTCCGGAATCACCATGGCGAAAACCTTTAATTTTTCTTTAATTTTTAATGGGTCATGTTTCACAACTTGGAGTGTATTTGAGAATGGCTTGCCAAACCTTCATTTTGTACCGGGCTATGCGGGTGTTCGAGGCAACCAAAGTTAATGGAACAATCCTCAAGCAAGTTGAGACCCTTAAGTACTTGGGTTGGGTACCCTGAAAACAGATGGAAGATGTTTTTTTTTTTTTTAAAAGTTAAACGTAGAATAGCCCAAGAAAAGGTAGCCTGGTAGTCTGGTAGTCTTAGTTTCAGCTTCATTGCAAACGGGTCACCCCATCTTTGCTCCGCTCCTGTGCCAACGAAAACACACTGAATGTTTATCACAGTCTCTTGTGGAAAGATTGATAGACTGCTGTCTCAGCATATCTAGCATACACAGGCATTAAAGCATACGGTAGCCATCGGAAGTGTTAACACAAACAGTCCGACATTAGAAATGCAGTATATCATTGATGGTAGCAGAAGTCACCAACAGATCAGCAGTTGCTCACGCGATTAATTTTAATCACAAAATGGCACCACCAATATTGCGACAACAGGAATCACACCATTTTCTGAATCTACAATTCACACCACCACGTTGGTCACAGTCGAAAAAACATTCCAAATGAAATCCGAGCTCACAGTGTCACGCCATGCATTCAACTCAGAAACCATATCCTTTCAGTCTACCAATGGAACAAAAATGCAACGGCTACCGTCTGGCAGAAGCAAAAAAATTGTCTCTGCTCCAAACAGTGTCCGTTCCTAGCATCTTTTTTGACCGGAAGGTAGCTTTTCACAAAATAAAGAACATCCGAGGCAATCTTTCCTTTGTCAAATGCATCAAGAAAGACAATTCTCAAGTGCTAAGTAAATCCTATCTTGATAAATGGAAGTAAATCATGGACAGTTGAAAGATAGGGAAAAAGTGTTTGGAAGCGAAGGAGATGTGGTTTTATAGACGAATTATGAGAACATCCTGGACAGATAAAAAGAGTAATGAAGGTGACGCGGTGGGAAAAAGTGACTGGCCAATAGAACCGATTATCTACATCCGAAAGAGATAATCTAAATTCCTTGGTTATGTCATGAAGAAGAAAACTGGAGTACATCAAGAGGTGGGAAAGTTGAAGAGGAAAATAGACAGCTGGAGAACGAGAGAGCAGATGCTGGACAGACAGACATCCTGACATGGAAGATCTTCTGTGTCAGAACTGACTGAAATTACACGAGACAGAAGTTTTTGTGTTGGCATGACTACTAAAGCCATATGGTGTGGACTATAAAACAAAAGTTGTGTTTTCAGCGAGACTACGATATCTGCACCCATCGACGCAACACGTCTCGGTGAACTGCTTGTTATGAGGGCAGTTGGTAAATAATCCCCACCCAAGTTGCCTGCAAAACACACACGGGGAGGGGGATCACGTAACCAGTACACTAGGCAAGATCTAATATTATACCTGTCAACTGTACCCTGACAGGCGTGGCGTCATTCTATGCCATGACAACGCCAACAGTGACTGGATCTTTGTGGTCTATTCGGGTTCCTGTAAAGTTCTCAAAGCTCTGGAGGACATACCGGTCCCGCGTCTTGATAGGAGAGCACACAGTAGGAGGGTTTTGTTTTCTTTAATACTTGTTATTGTTATTTTATTGTTATGTTCCAATGTTCCTGTTATTATCCCATTGTTGTGTTCTGGTGTGTGCCAGTTTTGATGTTGTTTTTACATTGTTGTGTTTACTTTAGTTTGGCACTGTATTATTGATATTGCTACATTGTTATGTTATTGTTATGTTCCAGTGTCACTGTTATTACCCCACTGTTGTGTTATCGGTATGTTCCAGTTTTGATGTTGTTTACACATTGTTGTGTTATCTTTAGTTTGTCACTGTATTATTGATATTGCTACATTGTTATCTTATGTTATTGTTATGTTCCACTGTTACTGTTATTACCCCATTGTTGTGTTATCGGTATGTTCCAGTTTTGATGTTGTTTATATATTGTTGTATTATCGTTTGTTTATTGCTGTATTAATGATGTTGCAACATTATAGAATTATCATTAAGTTCTAGCTTTAATGATATTGCTACATTGTTGTATTATCGTTATGGCCTAGTATTATTGTTATTGCTACCCTATTTTATTATGGTTATGTTGATGCTGTGGTAATGTTATTGCTTCATTGTGGTATTTTTTTTTAAAATCTCAAATTGTCTTCATTTCATATTAACCTTGCAAGCTGAGCCTGCTCTCATCATAAACAGTTCACTAGCCTACAACCGCAATACAGTGCAAAGTTTGCACGCATACTTCGCAGATAATAAAGGGAAATTGAACACCTGTAATATACAAACACGTGCATATAAATATAATATATATATATATATATATATATATATATATATATATATATATATATATATATATATATATATATATATATATATATATACTAGCTGTACCCGGCCACACGTTGCTGTGGCGTAATTTGAGATAGTCTTTGATTCCCCCCCCCCCCCACCCCCCCCCCCACCACACACAACTAAATCCACCTAGTACCCTCTCCCTCATCAAAGGTTTTTAGAAAAGAAAGACAATGGAAATCGCACCTGTCTAATGAAGTTAATGACGCAGTCAATGTCTGCGCCGACGTCGAGATAGTCCTTGATTGCCCCCCCCCCCCCCCCCCCCCATCCAAGGTTGTTTGAAAATAAAACATAAAATAGAAATCGTGCTTAATATGGTTATTGTGGCAAATATAGAGATAGTCTTGTTTGCGGTGCCTTGACCTACTCTATGTATTAAGGCGTTGGCTGCACGTACCTCGCCGGCGAATGGCGGAAGCCTTGCGTTCTGACTACGGCGGCGCATGCGCAATTACTAACGTGGCTATAATTAGAAATCACTAAAGTTATAAATATTAGTTGCGTATATTTTGGCATTAATTGTGGTCACCTATCTCTAACAGTGACAGGTTGAATTTCAAACCACGACGGTTCAAAATCCGGTATCACAACAAACATATCCTGAAAATTTCAGCTAAATCGGTTCAGTAGTTTCCGAGTCTATAGAGACCAAACAAACACACAAACATAGATTTTTATATATATAGAAGATATATAGATAGATAGTCTGGTTTTCCAACTTTAGAACACGCACCATATAATTGTGTCTTTATATTAGTGGTCGTTTAAATTGTGTTATTAGCACGGTAACAAAAGTGGTTATTTGGTTATCACATGCTAAAGCTGTTTGTATTTTTATAGGAGACGGAAGCAAAGCTACAACTGTACTTGTAAATAACAAAGTAAGTCGTAAAAAATAGAAAAGCGGAGGTAGCGTTAGTAAAATATAAACAAATTATGTAATGAGAACTTGAAAATCACGTGTAAAGCTCTTTAAGTTCTCTTAAATTTAAGTCATTACCCCCCTCCCCTCCCCTCTTCCACCGACTACTGCTCTCTCCCTCTTCGAAGGATTTGAAAATCACTAACTGGCGATATTTTGTTGTTGCTGTAACTAACATTGACATCCCTGTCCATCTGGACTAAAATAAGGAACAGGAATTGTAAAAGGTAGTGAATAGGGCTAAAAAAAAACAACACTTGAAAAGCAAATGAACACAGGAAAAAAACACCATAATTAGGAAATGAACGCCATTGTAAACAACTATTAGACATATGTGTCCCTACCACTGTGTCGCGATTAAAACACAATTCAAAACCGCAGACAATTGTTTTCTCGTAGACAGATTCTCCAGATATATTAATGAAATAGAAATCGCACGTGTCTAACACGGTTAATGAAGTTAATGTCGCAGTCACTGTCTGAGCCGACGTCGAGATAGTCCTCGATGGCCCCCCCCCCCCCCCCCCCCCCCCCATCGAAGGTTGTTTGGAAAAAAAACAGAAAATAGAAATCGTGTTTAATATGGTTATTGTGGCAAATATAGAGATAGTCTTGTTTGCTGTACCACGACCTACTCTATGTATTAGTATTAGAGAAGGCGTTGGCTGCACGTAACTCGCCGGCGAATGGTAAATACGGCGCATGCGCAATTACTAACGTGGCTATAATTAGAAATCACTAAAGTTATAAATATTAGTTGCGTATATTTTGGCATAAATTGTGGTCACCTATCTCTAACAGAGACAGGTTGAATTTCAAACCACGGCAGTTCAAAATCCGGTATCACAACAAACATATCCTGAAAATTTCAGCTAAATCGGTTCAGTCGTTTCTGAGTCTATAGAGACCAAACAAACACACAAACATTGATTTATATATATATATATATATATATATATATATATATATATATATATATATATATATATATGTGTGTGTGTGTGTGTGTGTGTGTGTGTGTGTGTGTATGTGTACATATAATTTGCAAATTTTATCTTTATTAAAATCGCTGTCACTAACTTCAGGGTATGCACGTGAGGATGCTTGTAAGAGCTTGAATGCGGACTGTGTAAGTGTGGATGCTTGTGAGAGCTTAAATGCGGACTGTGTAAGTGTGGATGCTTGTAAGAGCTTGAATGCGGACTGTGTAAGTGTGGATGCTTGTAAGAGCTTGAATGCGGACTGTGTAAGTGTGGATGCTTGTAAGAGCTTGAATGCGGACTGTGTAAGTGTGGATGCTTGTAAGAGCTTAAATGCGGACTGTGTAAGTGTGGATGCTTGTAAGAGCTTAAATGCGGACTGTGTAAGTGTGGATGCTTGTAAGAGCTTAAATGCGGACTGTGTTAGTGTGGATTCTTGTAAGAGCTTGAATGCGGACTGTGCAGGTGTGGATTCTTGTAAGAGCTTGAATGCGGACTGTGCAGGTGTGGATTCTTGTAAGAGCTTGAATGCGGACTGTGCAGGTGTGGATGCTTGTAAGAGCTTGAATGCGGACCAGACAGCAATGTTTTATGCACTAAGAATAATTTCAGAAAATGAAAATCTTCTTCTTCTTCAGCATTCCGAGCCTTTCAGGTTTGCTGTAGATATCACTCGCCTCTATTCATCTCTCTGGTTAGCCTTCTCTTTCCAGTTGGTGACACCAAGTGTTTGCAGATCTGTCTGGACATTATCTCTCCATCGTCTTCTTGGTCTGCCTCGTGGTCTACGACCATTCATCTCCCTCGTGTACACAGTTTTTACTTCTCTGTCATCTGAAATTCTTTCAATATGTCCCAACCATTTCAGTCTATTAGCTCTCACGATGCCAGTGATCAGTGGTGTTTTTAACAGAAAATGAAAATGACTGAGTTAAATTTGATTCAAGGATCGTAAAATGATAGTGACATGATCATATGATGATGATGACAAATGTGATGATAAAGATGAAAATAAAGATGATGATAAAGATGATGATGACGATAATGATATTCCGACAGCTCTTCTAAACCACCATATCTAAACTGTGTAACTTTTCAATGTGTTTTGCAACATGCAGAAATCAGCCTGACGCCAGATACACACAACATACGCAAAGTGAACAGAACAACCCAGTCTCCAGGCAACAAGGAGAACGCCAGCACGCAAGGACGCAGCCACCACGGCAATACTTGTAGAAGACTTCGCAAGTATGGTGTCTCGCTACCTCCCATTCGCTCAGCCACAGATGGGCTGGCCAATGAAAAATACTCCAAGGGTTAGATTAATATTACTATTATTATTAATGTTATTAATATTATTATTATTATTATTAAATTAGTTGCGCATCCAGCATGTGATCCTTTCGGCGATAGATTGTGGACATGGACTGCTCACCATATCAAGACGTCAGCTGATAAAACTTGAACGTACACAGAATGAAGCGATGCGAAGAATTCTGGGATGTAAAGAGATACTCCAGAGTATGTATATAAATTCTGTCCCTGCCTACTATTGCAGATAGGCTCAAGCGAAGTCAATTCTCAGAGTAGTTACGGAAAGAAGCACCTTATGCGTGAAGCCCTGGTTAGAGCTAAAAAAAAGAAGGCGCAATTAGACTTGTGTGCAGACTTGATAAATTTGGGTGAGGAGAGGAGAGGGTCAAAGTTTCCAAGCAAGAATAAGACTTGTGTAGGCTTCTAATCACTTTGGGTCGTGAGTGCAGGGACTGGCCAGCTGGTGCTGCAGAATCAGAAGTTGAACAAATGATCCATGACAATTCCTGCTCAAGTGATGGGATTATCTATAGAGATGGCTCTGTGTTGAGGGGAAGACGAAGTGCATGGGGGTTAATAGCAAAAGCGAATAGACGTTTCTTAGTACAGCAAAGCCTTGCATATGATATCACAACGTCTAGTCTGAGAATGGAAGGGAAGGCAGTCACTGCTGCCTTCCGCTGACCTGAGAATCAGCTGTAAACACATTTCGTAATTGCAACTGACTCACAGAGTATGTCGAGACAGGTGGAGACTGGTATGCTCCGTGCTGAGTAGCAAACATCACTTCAGAGGTCCCGAGTAGTTAGCGCCCTTTGGATATTTTCTCCAGATGATGCTGGTGTACTGGGAAACGAGCAGAAGGATAGACTGGTCGGTTCTGCGCCACTTGGTGGTGAATTGATTTATGACAAGCTGCAAGTTGTTAGGGCCCTTTGGGAGCTAGTGAACAGTGCGGAGGTACAGATAGATCATTACGGTCTGAGGTAAGTAGCGCTGCAGGGAATTACCAGGGGATCTGGCTGACACTCAATCCTCAAGGGAAAGGCGAGACTGGTGTACTGTCAGACAGTTACTGGTGCATCCGAATTGGAACTCTTTGCTTGCTGCTGAAGATAGGCACGGAGCGCCTATGGGAGTGCACTGAGTGCTATGGTGTCAATTCTTCTTTCAGTATTCACCATTAGTTGCGTATCCTTTACAGTACGTACCAGAAACAATTCTAGCACTTGTTTGGCTGTTTATAATTTCAATAGTCACGTTCGGTATTTTGCCATTGCCACTGAAAGGTCGGATCTCGATAGCACTAAACGACCTACCGCCAAGCACCCCGATGTTGTGAAGTGCGTTCGCAAAGTCTGAGCCACTGACGCAGACTTATCATCCTCATCACTATCATGTGTTCAGCTAAGAACGGTTGACACATTGTGTTATCGTTTAAGCCTTGGCTGCGATATCTGTGCCTTGGAGCTAATGCATCTGATTTTAGCAAATTTCTAATTAGTGGCTTTTACGACATGCTTGTCATGGAGCAGTTGGTATGTACATTATTTCTTCAACATGAGCTCCAGAACCCACATAAGGAATGATGATGATGTGTTGAAATGATGATGATATGTTGAAATGATGTTGTTCTTTTCATATATGGTTATGGTGATGTGCTGGATAATGATGATGGGCTAGGATGAAAATTCTGATATGTTGAAATGATGATGACGTGTTGAGATAATGATGTGTTGAGATAATTCTGATGTGTTGAAATGTTGGTGATGTGTTGAGATGATGCCGTGTTGAGATAATGTTTATGTGTTGAGATATGTGTTCATATGGTGATGTGTTGATATGATAATGCTGATGTACTGAGATAGTGATGTGTTGAGATCGTGATGTGTTGAAATAATGTTGATGTGTTAAGATGGTGATGTGTTGAGATGGTCATGTTTTGAGATGATAATGCTGATATGTTGCGATCGTGATTTTTTGAGATAATGCTGATGTGTTGAGATGGTGATGTGTTGAGATGGTCATGTGTTGAGTTAGTGATGTGTTGAGATGATAATGCTGATGTGTTGGGATGTCACTGATTTGTTGAGATGGTGCTGATGTGTTAAAATGATGATGATGTGTTAAAAAAGCCATATGTTGAGATAGTGATATGCTGGGTTGATGATGATGAGATGTAGGTGATGTGTTGAGGTAAAGGAGATGTAGTGCCATAATTATGGCGATATGTTGAGATGAAGGGGATGTGTCTAGATGATGCTGACGTGTTGAAATGATGATGATGTTGTGTGGAGATAAATGGGTGTTGCCATTACGAAAGTAATTTGTTGAGATTATGATGATGTTTTCATATTGTTATTATTAATATTATTACTATTATTATTTTTATATGCAGATAAGGTATAATCATATCGTCAAATGATCATGATGTTTGGAGATGATAATGATTATAATTATGATAATGATGACGATGATGATTATGATCGTGGTGATGTTAAGGATGTTGATGATGAGGTGTTGATATGATGACGATGTGTTGAGATATGATGATGATGTAATGAAATGATGATCATCATCATAATGACGATGTGTTGAGATAATGATGATGATGTCTTTGTGAAAGACTATATAAGGGAAAAAATATAATATTTCTCTCACTCTGGCTCTCTTTCACCAGAATCCTTCGCTGACACTGATCATCTGCAACAAATCACTGACATCTTCAACCACAAACACGTACTACCCACAATTGTTGGAAATAATCAAGTAAGTGTTTATTAACTTAATTCTCTCTCTCTCTCTCTCTCTCTCTCTCTCTCTCTCTCTCTCTCTCTCTCTCTCTCTCTCATTTTCTCTCTCTCTCTCTTTCTCTTATTCCTGTCTCTCTCACAGCCTCGTTCTGCATTTCTCTCTCTTTTTCTCTTTCTTTATGTATCCCTCTTCCCACATCGCCAACCTCCTGCCAACCTTCCTCTGTGCATCAGTCTCTAGTTGTCTTTCTCTGTCTGTTCACTCTTTCTCCTCTCCCCTCTCTCTCTGTCTCTTCTTTTCTCTCCTTCACTGTCGACCTCCCTCTATACCGCTGCCTCTCGCTCTCTTTCTCCCTCATCTCTCCTCCCTCTTTCAACATCTTTCTCCTCTCCCTCTCTTTATACCACCTTTCTACTCTCTCTCTCTCTCTCTCTCTCTCTCTCTCTCTCTTTCTCTCTGTCAACCACCTCCCTTCTATACCTATGTCTCTCTCTGTTTTTTGTGTGACCCTCTCTCTTGCTCTTTCTGCCTTTCCTATCCTCTCTCTCACTATTTCTCCCTCTTTCTCCTCAGTCCCTTTCTTTTTACTTCTTTTCTCTTTTCTCTCGCTGTCACCCCCCACCCCCATCACTCCTAATTTCGCCGTGGTTTATTTGTCTCTCTCTTTTTCTCCTTTTTCTATCCTCTCTCTCCCTCTCTTTCTACCTCCTCTCGTCTTTCTCTCATTGTCAACCCGTCTCTATCCCTCAGAAGAGTTGTTAGTCGAGCTTCCAGTAACACTGCAGACGGGTCGTCCCATAAGTGTCTGTCAGTGGAAATCAAACAAAAAGTCCATGTCTGTCCAGTTTGAAAAACTGGTAAAAACATGTCAGTCCCAGCAAAATGTCCATGTCTGCACACGCAAAATTTAAATGCATAAGTCAGATGCATTCCTTCCCATTTCAGTCTTCCCGGTACATTTAACCATGGGGGAGAGTCGGCACGGACACAATACTGAACTTTACAGCTAGACAACAGATCACATGATTTGGTCATGTAACAAAACTGGCCGCAGACAAGGCACCACAGAGAGTAATATTCTACAGATAAAACAGTAACAGAACCAGAGGTTGACCACACAGAAGATGGTCCGCAGAAATATCATAGACACTTACAAGTACTTAATGCGAAGCGAACAGAAAGGCCCGTTCCGGAGATTTCTTTCTGCCCTGACGCCGCGAGGTATTCCTGGAGTAGAGAAAAACAGAAAACGAAAAGTTAGCGTAAATCGCTTATCTAATGTAAAACTGACATAAAAGTGGTTTTCTTTCCATTTGTTTAGACAGATCAAGAAAACAACGAACAGACGTCTACAAAAGTCGCATCCATTGAGGTGAGCATACAGTCAAAGACCAACCACACATTCAGACTCAAACGACAGTCCTATGGCGTCCAGCCACCCACCTTGCCACAGTTTCTGGCACCTTCGGATGAGACAACAACCACACAACAGCCACAGTTGAGAAAATTTGCGTTTGTTGAGATTGCAAGATTGGAACCAGGAGATGTATTTGTAAGTCCTTGAAAAGGAGTGTTGATTTTTCCTAGATGTTAGGAAAATTAGAATGTACATATTTCCTAGATGTTAGGGGAATTAGAATGTAGATTTTTCGCACACACAACACACACACATATATATATATATATATATATATATATATATATATATATATATATATATATATATATAGGAGAATAGAATGTCGATCTCTCGTAGATGTGGGGAGGGGGGGGGGGGGGGGGGTTAGAATTTCCATTTTCCCCAGATGTTCCTTGATGTAAAGGGGAGTGTGAGTTAGTATTCCAGATTGTATTTATAGATCTGTCAACTTTACTTGTGTCCATAGTCTGCTTTGTATCGTAGTTGTCGCAGGTTAACAGATGATCGGTATCCTAGCTAGGGCGCCATCGGTTGCCCGGTATGCTGTGATATTGTGGAGTCTCAATATATCAGTGATTCCTTCAATCCATCGTCTTCTTGGTCGTCCGCTACATCTTGGTGTTTCTACTTTCTTAATATAATCTTTCGTTGCTGGCATCGTTGGATTCATTATCATTAAATAGTCAAACAATTTCCGACCGTTTTTCAGTAAATTTAATTATAGTTGTTGTTCCAGTAGTTCTCATTTTGATAAAAGATCAAGTGCGTCTGATGGGTTTTCTGTCTAGTATATTCCAGTGTGCGAGGTAACGAGCAGGCTGATAGGTTAGCTGCTACCGCTCTTCTAGGCGGTGAGCTACTATATGATAAAGTCAACAAAGCTAATACAGAAAGGTCAAAATATAACCAATAAGTACGTTAATTTGGGGGACGGGGGAAGAGAATATCAAGGGCTATAATACGAAACGAAGTAAGTAAGAAATTGTTTGAAAAAAGAGGGGGGATAAATTGAAATGGATTTTAAAAAAACAGTGTAATGAAATACAATTAAATTAAGACGTGTAGAAAATTAATTTCCTACCCCCCCCCCCCCCCCCTTTTCCCATCAGAACAAAGAACGCCAAAACTATGAATCAAACTTTTTTTCTAAGGAATATAGCGGCTGCTTTGATCACCGAAGCAAGAATGCATAGCAGTAACTGAGATATCGCTTCGCTTTGTGGTCAGAATAGTTTAAATGAGGGACAAAGGCCAAAGACAAGCGTATGAAATACAAATGCAAATCACTAGAAGGTTAAAATCACTGTTTCTTCTAATGGATTGCTGTTGTTTTCCCCGCAGGGACTAGATCATGTGGTCCTGTCGGGGATGAGAAATGTGGCCTCGTGCAGTCTGGTTTCCCAGGGAGCCGAGGTGGTGCTCATCAGCAAGTCGTTCTTCAAGAAACACCTCACAGAGGACACGCTCAAGAGGATGAGGCAGCAGGTTAGTGGTTTCTGGTTGTCTTTTAGCGGTTTTGTATCTTTCGACGGCTACCAACAGATGTTGTTCTTGAAGAAGAGAAATGAGACGGGGGGAGAGCAGTAATTGTATTATGGCATACTTGTAAACATAGGTATATATTTAAAAGTGCTGTTGGTGGTGATAGTAGTAGTGGTGGTAGTAGTAGTGGTGGTAGTAGTAGTGGTGGTAGTAGTAGTGGTGGTAGTAGTAGTGGTGGTAGTAGTAGTGGTGGTAGTATTAGTGGTGGTAGTAGTAGCGGTGATGGTAATAAAACCATATAACTGTGCATTTCAGATCCAGCCACTGCCCAGTGAAAAAGCCCTTCTCAAGAGATTTCAGAAGAAGAAAGAATGGGACATCTACAAGTCACAAACTTTAGCTAGACACCATTTGCAAAGCCTGGTTCATGGTGCGGCCCCATAATGTTGATGTTTTCAATCTCCAGTTACTGCACTACTTTATAAAGTTGATGTTTTTATTGTAAAATTACGGCACTACTTTATAAAGTTGACGTTTTTAATGTCCAGTTACTGCACTACTTTAGAAAGTTGAAGTTTTTAATGTCCAGTGACTGCACTACTTTATATAGTTGATGATTAAGTTGGTATTTTCGATATTCAATTACTGCTCTATGTCATAAAGTTGATGTTTCTAATGCATATTATTGAACTACCGTATATAGTTGAATTCCAATATCCAGTTACTACATTACTTTCTAAATTTGAAGTTTTCAATATCCAGTTAGTACACTAATTCTTAATGTTGATGTTTCCAATATTGAAATAGACAGTGACATCATGATAAAACTATGTGACTACTTCCAAAAGTTGTTGTCTTCAATGCAGGCGTTCTAGAGTTGATCATTTCAATATTGAAGTATGCACCTGCGTTCTAAAATTGAAGTTTTCATTGTGATGTTGTGCGCTAAATGCAAAATTGATGTTTTGAATATAGTAGTTAGGATTTACTTTTCAAAGTCAATGTTCTGGCTATAATATTAAAGTTCTACTTCAGAAATCTAAGTCTGACACTCTGAATTTAATAGTCAACATCGTGTAGTAGGTCCTTTACAGAACGTCATTCTCATCACGGTCTCCGTGGAAGAAACCTGGTCTCTCACCGACTCGTATACTTCCATACTCAAGGAGTCACTTATGTCATGCGCCCATCTTCGTGTTGGTCGACAATACCCATCCTTCCTATTACCCAGCCTTCTGCTACTATTTTCTTCAATCTGCCATGGCTCTTGATGTGACCAACATATTTCAGCTTCTGAGACAAAACACTGTTTATTAACTACTCTCCTTGATGTTTAGATGAAACAGTAATATAACAGTAGAGTCTTCTTTAAAAGCGTTTTCGGTGTTGCAGTACTTTGTATTTTACGCAGCTGTTGTTCTGAGGTCATCAGATATTAGGAGTTTCATTTTGATAGCAAACAGGTCACATTAAAGCTGCCTTTCCTGTGCCAACGAAACTTTGTCCTGTTGTGAGAAGGGGGGGGGGGGGGGGGTGACAAAAGAACCTATACATGTCTTCCTGTCAACCAACATGACACATAGATGCACTTGTGTCGACCCCACCACATACACTTATATCATGCTCTGACTAATATCTACACAGACAATATCCAACGTTGATATATTGATAAACAAAATTCAACTAGACAGTTCAAGCGTTCCAAAAGAATGCAAGAAGACAAATCTACAGGCTCCATGGGGCTGGAACAACTGTTGCACACGTTCACACTCTTTCGCTGACTGGGAGCTACTGAATCAGACTACCCCGGGATCCTTCCACCAGTAGTTAGTCTCCCCTGTGTCTGGCCAAACTCATGTTCTAGTGGTCCAAGTTCTCACACTGACTCCGGGCTCTCATATCATGAACTGTACTGTACACTATCACACCTTTCTGACCTCTGGCAGAAACGCATTCTATTGACCCAGTTAGTTCACCACACGTGTCTTATCTTATTCAAGTAGTTTATTAATAAAATATACTTTTTTTATTTAAAAAATACACAGTTCTATATTATAGTTGAAGTTTTCGAGTAAATCATAGATGTGATTACTAAATATTCGTTTTAGCCAGGTAATTTAAAATATATAATACGAGATGGCTTCAAATGAAAACCTTAAAAGTGTTTAGGAAACTACAGTAACATAACCATTTCATAATCATGTGTGCCTGTCCCGATCGAGAGCAGTCTGTCATAGAAGTCAGGCCGTTTTGAAATGTCTTAGTCTGCTCATAAACTTGCTGGACTGACAGGCATGTATCACTAAACTGGACCTTCAATCACCGATACATTTCTAGGTTTGATCTCATCACTGATTTAACGAAGAAGAAGACAACCGGATAACAGAACGCTACTCTTCTTTGGTGCTTGTCAAAGTTGGGGCTGCCATCTTTAATCCGTCATTATGACGTCACCGTGTTCTTCTGCAGCATGGTTATTGTAATTTCTGTTGCTCTTTTAGAGTACACTTTGCTGTGAATCCTTTACAAGACATTGTAGAACCAACCCCAGCATTTATTGACTGTTTGACTTTACTAGGCAGTTTTACGTTCATTAGTTTACCATCGCTCACTATACTGTCGGTTCTCGATGCCATATATATATATATATATATATATATATATATATATATATATATATATATATATATATATATATATATATACATATACATATATTGATATAAGTACAAAAATATAAATATAATATTGCATGTATTGCATGATAGAAGTTATAATGATAACACAATGGACGATCGGAAAAACGATGGTGAGAATGAAAAGAAGTCACAAAGCAGGCTAAAAAAAGGCGGATACAGGCATGTTGTCTACAGAGTTAGGCTAGCATGGCTTCCGAAGTCATGGGTAGTCAGCGCCCCTTGGATATTGTTTCCAGTGAATGCAGGAGTGTTAGGACAAGAACTAGCAGATATGCTGCCCATTTCTGCAACAACTGGTGGTAAATTAATGCACGACAAGCTAAAAAGTATCCAGTCCGGGGTGACAGGAAATAAAAGGGCCGACAGACTAGTCATGACTGCAGTTGATGGTAAAGGAAGAAGTATAGTCAGAGCAGACATACTGAATGCGCTGCGTTCTAAAGACTTTGAGACGAAGGGTTTAGCAACCATGAATCGCCTGTTGGACATGGATATTACACTTGGACAAGCATGCAGAATCGGGTCGCTGGGCACACAAAGAAGATATGTCAGTCAAACTACTGGGCTCGTTGATCATGGAGACACTGAGTTGGCTGCTGCATCAAACGATGGAGCACGAATAGGACGTAACAACTCACATGCTAGATGTGGTCAAGACCTTTTCTGAGCGAGTGAGCGATGCGGAAGAACAAACAAATCACAACCTAGAGAGATTGGTGCAGCGGGAAGTGACCACGGGATTTGGCATGCACTCAACATTCAGCAAACACTAAACTTTTACCAGACAATCAATATTCAGCAAACACTCATCATTCAGCAAACACTCATCATTCAGCAAACACTCATCATTCAGCAAACACTCATCATTCAGCAAACACTCATCATTCAGCAAACACTCAACATTCAGCAAACACTCAACATTCAGCAAACATTAAACATTCAGCAAACACTCATCATTCAGCATACACTCATCATTCAGCAAACACTCAACATTCAGCAAACACTCAACATTCAGCAAACACTCAACATTCAGCAAACACTCAACATTCAGCATACACTCATCATTCAGCAAACACTCAACATTCAGCACACACTCAACATTCAGCAAACACTCAACATTCAGCACACACTCATCATTCAGCAAACACTCAACATTCAGCAAGCACTCAACATTCAGCACACACTCAACATTCAGCAAACACTCAACATTCAGCAAGCACTCAACATTCAGCACACACTCAACATTCAGCATACACTCAACATTCAGCAAGCACTCAACATTCAGCAAACACTCAACATTCAGCAAACACTCAACATTCAGCAAACACTCAACATTCAGCAAACACTCAACATTCAGCACATACTCAACATTCAGAAAACACTCAACATTCAGCAACCACTCAACATTCAGCAAACACTCAACATTCAGCAAACACTCAACATTCAGCAAACACTCAACATTCAGCAACCACTCAACATTCAGCAAACACTCAACATTCAGCAAACACTCAACATTCAGCAAACACTCAACATTCAGCAAACACTCAACATTCAGCAACCACTCAACATTCAGCAAACACTCAACATTCAGCAAACACTCAACATTCAGCAAACACTCAACATTCAGCAAACACTCAACATTCAGCAAACACTCAACATTCAGCAACCACTCAACATTCAGCAAACACTCAACATTCAGCAAGCACTCAACATTCAGCAAGCACTCAACATTCAGGAACAAGACAAGACTGATATGTGCTCAATCTGTTACTAATATCATGATCCGATTTGGAGTTCTGCGCTGACTGCTGAACATGGGGATAGAACACCTATTGGATTGACCCGAGTGCTACTGTGTTGGTTTCTTCTTCTTCTTCTTCTTCTTCTTCTTCTCCTTCTTCTTCGTCTTCTTCTTCTTCTTCTTCTTCTTCTTCTTCTTCTTCTTCTTCTTCTTCTTCTTCTGTTTTTTTTTCTTTGTCCTCGCAGGTGTAAACGTCTGTGGGAGGGGAGGGGGATGTGAGTTATGGTGTTGGTCTGCTTCTTGACTTTGGTATAATTCGAAAATTTGAGTTTCGCTTGCACATTTTTTTTTAAATAGATCTGGCTTTTTTATATACAAAGTGTTGATTATTAGCCGCACCGGCAGATGCTCTCTGACTTCGAGAAAAAAAAAAGCTGATAGTGACTGAGGTTCTAGTGGAGAAGTTGATTTTGATTAAAATATTAACCGTAGTGATGATACGCATTGTATAGTGACGATAATGATGACGACGATGATAAAGAATATTAATGGTCATTGCAATGGCAGTAAAAGGATAGTGGTTACGCAGAGGATACTTGTACTGACTACAATTATGACGGTTAATGCGATGACAAACATGAAAAGTTAATGACGACGATGTTGACAATGATGACAAAAATATTTTTATGGACAAACTTTCTTAGAGGACGGTCAAATGTGCAAATGTTCTCAGCTACCTCTCAAAAGTATCCTTGTTGCTCTTCCGAAATCTCTCTTCAAGAACTGTTGACCATCTGATTGGCAATTGAGACTTCATCAACCTCGTCAACAGATTCGGCATTTCCCGCCAACGACTCTCTTTTCTGTATCCATCTGTACACTGAACTTCGTCTGCGACCTTGGGACTTTCTCGGTGAAGACAGTTCATCGTCGTCTTCGTAAGTAGTATCCAGCAAGGCCCCAAGATGGCTGGTATAGGTGGAATCCAGCTGGGCGTCTTCAAAGATGTCGGAACAACTCCCTCGTCGAGCGTCACTGGACGCACCGGCAACTTGCTGCCGAACTTGGACAGTGTCTTTAAATAGAACGTTGCCTTTCGAGCCTCTCTTCTCTGGTTTCCCAGTGTCTTGGATTTTGGATTCTTCAGCCGCTTGTTGCATTGCTTCTCTTGCTTCTGGAGACAGCCCGATAGAGATCTTTCCCGCTGGTCTTTTCTGCAGGTGGGATCTGATCTCTGCCAGCTGCATTGGCTTAACTTTTTGCAGATGGATCGTTGAGTCTCCCGCTCGAATCATTTTCTTATAAACAGAACTTTCCTCTGTGAAATGAGAAAACTGTGTACCGTTTTCAGTAAAACTTCGCTTAGTACCTTATAACAGGGAGGGGTATTTTCACCTCGTCTAGATTTAGTAGGTGTCTGTGAACTCCCTTCGTAATTCAAAAACACCCGGCTCAATTGCAGCTGTATTTCCACAGATCGCTTTGATTTCAACAACGTTATGGATATCAGCTTTTTCAGTTATTAATGGAAAATTACTGAATGTATAATTACATAGCTAACCAAATTACCTGAACAAAAATACAAAGTGCTGAAATCGGTTCTGCAAGGTTCTGTAAAGGATACTAAATTTAGATCTCAGGAAACTTTTAGTAGCAATAGATACTAACACAAAGGCATCTAAACTCAGAGATGCAACACGTCTAGTGAAAAAGAAGTCTCCATGTTATCATCAAGACAACCCAGAGAAAATGGGATAATTTGTAGAACTGGCGTTAATGTGCTAGCCTGCACTGGTAGTGATATTCCACCATCCCTGAAACATAAATCAATAATCAATAAATCAATGAGAATAATAATTAAATACACAGCGATTAAAGAATAAGTATATATGTAATGTGGACAAGCGCAGTGCCAAATCTTAGGCAGTTTTGAGAAGCTCAGGGAGGTGTCGGTGGGAATCAACCCACTTACAGATGTTCTAGCAGCCCTGCATGGGTTTGCGACTCTGTGGCTTCACTGATTCAATCATTCATTGACCTCCATGGGTTTGCGACTCTGTGGCTTCACTGATTCAATCATTCATTGACCTCCATGGGTTTGCGACTCTGTGGCTTCACTGATTCAATCATTCATTGACCTCCATGGGTTTGCGACTCTGTGGCTTCACTGATTCAATAATTCATTGACCTGCTGTATAATTATATGTCATATAGGGTTGCAATCTATTGATCATCATCACGTGCCCTGCCAACTGGCGTAGGCGCTCATGCATCTCCATAGATCACAATCCTTGGTTGCCTGGAATCGCTCTCTTGAAGATATCCTTCCACGCCATCGTTTCAGCCCATCCAGCATCATCTCTCTTGGTCTACTTCTACCCTTTTTTGCAATGATCTTTTTAGTTGTTGCGATGTTCTCTAATGTCTCTCTTCTCATTGCGTGTCTCCTTCTTATTGTTGAATATAGAGATCTCCTTTCTGTAGCTTCTTTCAAACAATCGTTATTGGTTACTCTGGCCGTCCAAGGTATTTGCGACATTCGTCTCAGAAACCACATCTCTGCTGCTTTTAGATATTTTTCCTAATGTGTTGACGTACATTTCAAGATTCGCTGCCCTACAGCAGAGCAGGTTCTGTGTGACGCTTTAGCCCTAACTTGCAGTTTATTACGGAGGACAAATGTAACATGAATAAGCAATTTTTTAGGGATAATTAAAGGCAATGGAGGAGAGCTCACCAAGCCACTTTCTTACAGTTTTGTAGAGCTTTCCTGAGAGGTAAACTGGAATATGGAAGCATTATCTATGACTCAGCAACTAAATGCACAAACATTAAACTAGATAGTATACAGTGCCAAGCACTGGCCACCATTTTGGGTGCAGGTAAAGGCACATCAAGAGAAGCAATGGAAGCAGTGCTAGGTAGAGCACCGTTAGATCTGAGAAAGAAGCAATTAATGTACAATTACTGTCTTCAGACCGCACACAGTCTTGATCATCCAGCATGTGACGCTGTCAACACCAATACAAACAAGTTCAAGTAGTGCCAATAAAAAACGTTCTTAAGCCAGCAGCATGGGATGCTTCAGTACAAATTAAAAATAACGAGAATCTAGCAAGAACAATTGAATTGAGTAGGAGATATAAACCTCAGATACCACCATTGGAATTGAAACCACCATATTTAGACAAAAGTCTGGCAAAACAGATTTTACAAAACACTGATCCACCACAAGTAATGGACCAGCAGGGGAGCACATTACAAACACTGAAACTGATAAATTGATACTATACACGGCTGGATTCAAAAATGAGAAAGTAGCAGTAGCAGCAGCAGTTTATTGGCGAATACCAAATTCTTATAAAATCACAGATTCAAAAGGTCAGTTTTCACTGCCGAACTAATCGGGATAATAAAAGCCTTAGAGATAGCAGCAGAAAATTCCCCCTTGAAACTGACAATAATGACAGATTCTCTTTCATCTGTACAATCACTGACTAGGAATCTAAACACAGGGAAGTAGATCAGGCATAAAAGAGGAGATAATCACACTGACCACACAACTTGGGAACAACGGATGTCAGATCACCATAGCAGGGGTTCCACCGTATAGAGGTATAGTTGGTCATGAAAAGGCGGATATTTTTGCAAAAATATTTACCTGCAGTTATAAAAAAATAGAAACAGGCCTAGGAAAAACTGAGGGGAAGAGTCAAATCAAACAGTATTTTACAGGAACGTGGAAGAGACAATGGGAAATGAGTGCTAATGGCAGAAGGGCGTGCGAATATTTGAAATTTGAATTTAAAGAAAACGATTTTAAAAATTGTCCACAGACAAAACTGGCTATCACCCAAAAATAACAAAGAATGATGAATAAAATAATATTTCTCACAGTTTGGATATGTAGGCTCTTTTTAAAAAAAAAAAAAAAGCAATGAAGATTGTTTGACAGAAATCAAAAGGAGGATGTCCATAGCAATGCAATGACTATACAGCATTAAAAGTATATGGTTAAGCAAGGAAATCAAAACTAAAACTTTAAGAGCTTGCATATTCGCTGTAGCAACATACGAATGTGAGTCGTGGACTATATCCCAGTCCTTAAGGAAGAAAATAGGAGCTTGTGAGCTGAAATGCTACAGAAAGATTCTCAGAATATCTTTGACAAAGAAGGAATGAAATACTGACATTTTAGAAGATCTGAACAACAAGGAAGATTTGCTAATAAACAGCATTTTGTCTCGGAAGCTGAAATATTTTGGTCATATCAAGCGCCATGATGGATTAGAAAAAAAAAAAAGCAGCTAGCATGGTACAAGGGAGGAGGCACAGGGGCCGACCAACCCAAAGATGGGAACAGGATATAGGCGACTAGGCGACTCCTTGAGTATGAATGTTCACGAGGCGATAGAGCTGGCGAAAGATCGAGTCTCTTTCAGGCGGACCGTGATCAGAGCGACGTTCTGCAAAGGACCTGCTACATCAGTTGTTCTCAACCTTCCTAATGACGCGACCCTTTAAACAGTTCCTCCTGTTGTGCGACCCCCAAACTATAAAATTATTTTTGTTGCTACTTCATAAATTCAGTGAATATGTGTTTTCACCTGGTTTTAGGCGACCCCTGTTAAAAGGCCGTTCGACCCCCAAATGCGTCGTGGCGTGTAAGGTGGAAACGATGATGATGACTGTAAGTTGGGATGACTCATTTCACTACAGCAGAAGACATATGTTCTGTATGTCAGATACATAATACTATCAGACATTATTTACGCAACTGCAAGAAATGTGAGCTCCAAAGGACTCCCCTTAATAAAGCTATGAACATATGATCTGCGATAAACCTATCACAATTTAATGCAAGCATGGAGTAGGTGGCTCTAGAGAACTACATGGAAGGTTTAAACAGAACATCAAAGAACAGGGATTAGTGACTCGGGTGTTAGCATATCTCAATGCAGAATAATTGCATTTTAGATTATTTTAAATATCCATAAATTTAGACAACACAGCTTAATTCTATATTATAAATGTTTGAAGGTAAACTTAAAATATATTGAACTTGAAAATTTATACTGCTACAACATTATATAATTAGTACATAAACTATGCAATATCCAGTCATAAAGCGCCTTGCCGGCTGGTGTTAGCGATCATACCTCTCCACAATCTACAACACCGTGTATCGGTTCGTGTGTTGACACCTCTTCATGTCATAACAAACTATTAATTTTTGGGAAACCATTACTTTTGTCTTTCAATTATTGAAACTGGGGCCCATTTTATCACTTTTTTCTACCAACACCACATCTATCAGTTCTTGTAGTTCTTTCTGACTGGTCGCTATCTTGATGGTGTCAGCATAACCTAGATCGTGTATGTTATGACCACCAACCACAATTCCAGGCATATCCATGAGAGATCTCATTACATATTCACTGTATAGTGAAAACAAATCAGGTGATAGTACGCATTCTGGTCTTACTGCTCTCTTTATGCTCTGAAATTTTCCCACTGGATATTAATTCTTATAGCTGCTATCTGCTGCCAGTACATGTTCTTTATAATTCTTAAATCTTGTCCATCAATGTTTAACTTTATAAAAAGGTTGACTATTTCTTCATGTTTTACACAGTCAAATGCTTTCCTAAAGTCAGAGAAGCATTTAAAGATCGTTTTTTTTTTTTTTTTTTTTTTTTTTCTTTAGCTCTTTCCGACAGAGTCCAAAGGACATATTTGGCCTCGTTTTTACATGTTCCTTCTACAAATACACACTGCTCTTTACTAATTTCTGGATTATTCTTGTTTTTTATTCTTCTCTAATTATTATCAGTAACATTTTTGTCACATGGCTCGTAAGATATATGCAATATCGAATGATCGAAAAGAATTATTATTCATACAAATTTTTTATTTATATAGAAATAGACTCGATATATCCAGTTAAAACCGGGATGCGTTAAAAAGGATATAGTGGCTTTCATGAAATTGCTGCTAGTGCTGCTACTACTAATGCTACCATTGCTACTACTACTGCTACTATTGCTACTACTACTGCTACTACTGCTACTACTACTGCTACTGCTACTAACACAGGATTACAAACCTTACAATTAGAAAACGACAGTGAACTAGGAACTCTTATTGCTGCAAAAGAAAACTGATTTTAACTTCAAACCAGCCGATGTTTCTATATGTTGATTTCAATAGGTTATGTGAGAACGGTAAGTCAGGAGATTGATTGTAAACACTATCGATCTGGCAGTGTTTCCAGGCCATTAACTTCTGCTTCAGA